CTAAAAAAGTGCCTCGGGACTTCGGTCAGGAGTAAAGCTGGAAAGACCCAGCCAGACCTCTAACCCCCAGTGCTTCCGGGCAACAAGCTCCAGAGCCAGGGTTTGCGAGCAACCTCCTGACGTGCCTCCTTCAACGCAGCCTCTCTACCCCGTCTAGATGAGGCGCCTTTCCACGTATAAAAAATATACTCCAGAGAATATCCAAGACGTTCCGCCTGTAGCTTCAAAAGATCTGCTGGGTCCATTTTAAGGTCGGTTCGTACTGTCACGGTTTGTGAAACAAGCAGGACCCAAATGCAGATTTAAACTGAAACTTCCTTTATTTCAAGGCTATGAGATATATAGACAATGACAAACAGAACACTCACCGCAGAACTAGTCAGAGAACAAGGACGAACCGACCAAGACAGACAGAAAACCCAGAACTTAAATACACACAAGACTCAATCACACAACAAGACACAGGTGAGGAGGGAGGAGAAAACACAGGGACCCAGGTGAACATAATCAGACAATTAGACACACCAGGGAAACTAATGACAAGACAATAACCCAAAGGGAAACATGACATGGAAAACAGCAAAAACACCCAAACCTACAAACGTGACATAACATGAGAATCGTGACAAAAAAGGAGAATGAAAATTAAAAGACATTTACATAAACGGCCAAAAAACACCAGGTGGGAAAATGGATGCTCTTGATAAAAGCACCGTTCAATAAGCGACCAACAAACAAACAAACAAACAAACAAACATTTGTTCATGCATTTGAATGTCTTTAAAATGTAGACATGGTGTGCTGCTTTTCACCATTATCTTTCAGTAGGCTAACTGGTTCTCACAGGGAAACGAAAGTAGCGATGCCTGAGTGAGTGTGAATAGACGTGATAGGGCACTTGCACAGTTGTTTTCAGCGCCATCAGTACTAATGCTTCCAGTAGTTGTTAAAGAAATGTACCGGAAATACACAGAGTATTTTCATAAAAGAAATTGCCAGTTCAGAACGTCAAAGAATAAACAAATGATCTGTTTTGTGATGTTTTGCGTGGTGATTATAAATCCATAACACAAATGAATAATTCAAGTATTATTTATAACACAGTAACAAAGAACAGTTCTTAGTTCAATTGTTATTATTATTCATGTGTTGCTCTGAAAGTAGGGTGACACCTGCTGTATTAACTCTACTGGGGGAAAATATACAACCTTAGGGGAATGATTAAGCTTATTGATATTTTCCTTCATTTTTCAAACTAAGCAGTCTGCGTAAAACAGGAAATAGTTACCAGCTGTGTTACTGTGAGACTTATACTGTATAAAAAAAGAGAGCATGTGTGTACCTGTGGGATTCAGCTGCATTGAATGATGACAAATATGATCAAGCACACGTTTAACAGACACTAAAGAATGTTCTAATCAAGTGTTTATGGCACTATCATGAGTTGACATTGAGTCTTTTTACGTGACGGATCTAAGAAACCAATTATTGTCCTCATTAATAGAACATCTTCACAGCTGGGACGTCAGACACAGCTGTTTCTCACTCTGAGCAGTGGAAAGTCCCCGTCTGCCCACCATTGTGCTCATCTCTTTCTCAGTTTCTTGCTCTTTCCTTCTGACATGCGAGAGGAAGCAGCTCCACACCAGTGTCAACTCTCTGGGTCTCTGGTTGGTGCGAATGAGCCTTTTACTGCCGACCTGTCTCTGGGCCGATAACTCAGAGTGATTCATGGTGTCTGCACTGACCTACAGTAAAAAAAAAAAAAAAATCACTGGCTTCCTCTCAGAAAGACAAAAAAGGAAATTGCATTATCTCATATCCTAAAATATATAATGTAAAAAATGATGCATTAGGCCTTTACGTCCCCTGCCCTCACTCTGCATGTCCCTTCACAACATGTCTTTGACTTTAGGAGGAAACCCGGTTCAAAATTAGCAGTTCGGAGCGCGAACTAAGGACACCTTTGAACTGGAAATAAAGAGGTAAATCAAAATGGTTCCAGACATATTGTGAGCACACAAGATATATGGATATCACGCTACATCAACACATATCTTAACCACATGGTGCTGTATCTGAAATGATTAAGATATACAAGCTGTAAAGTTAACTGCCATGTATTCCTCACTATCCCAGCTGCACGTACTCCACAATTAGACCACAGCAGGGACATCTAAAGCAACGAAATACTGATGCTAGCAGCTTTGTGAGTAGACTTTAAAATGGCTCATTAGGAATGTAATTAGTTTTGCAAGTATAAAAAATACTATATTTGTTTCCAACACACATATGCCAATCTTATCACTTTGTATTGTATCATATGACCAGATGTTGACGCTACATGAAAAGTCAGCAGATAGTTCTAGAAATATCCTTGGGGAGACAATTTGATTGTAATAAACCTCATGGCAATCCATCCAATTACTGTTGAGACATTTCACTATAGTTGTGATATTAGTAAATTGACTTGACTCAACTCTAAATCAACACATGAGAACCAATTTAGGCTCAGTGTGTAAGACTCTGGAATCCATGATTTTCTGCATGTACAACATTTCAGAATCAGAATACCTTTTTATTTGTTTTATTTAGCCTTTATTTATACAGCTGAATCTCATTGAGACACAAGGTCTCATTCTCAAGAGGGACCTGTTCAGTTCAAATAAAACATCGAAAAAGTAGTCAGATATTGCAGGTGCAAACACCCAGATGATTTCTCCAGCTTTTTTAAAATTAGCTTAAAATCCGTGATGGGTATCAAACTGGTCAGCTTAAGTTCCTGCTGAAGTGTGTTCCAGGTCGAGGGGGCTGAGTATGATATGGCTTTTTTCCCAAGCACCGTGCGTACTGAGGGGACGGACAGAGTGATGTGATTTTGAGATTGTAGTCTATAGCTGTACTGTTTGTGTGATATGTAAGTGGATATGTAGAGGGGCAGCAGTCCAAGCATAGCGGTATAGATGAGTTTGTACCAATGTAGTGATCTGCGCATTGATAGTGATGTCCAGTTGACTAAAGAGTACAGCGTTCAATGGTGTGTGAGGGGTTTAGAGTTGGTTATGAACCTCAGAGCCCCATGGGAAACAGCGTCTAGCAGATGAAGGGAGTGAGCTGAGGCGTTCATGTACACAACATCCCCGTAGTCCAAGAGCGGCAAACATGTGGCAGCTACAAGCTGTTTCCTAGCACTTGGGGAGAAGCAGGCCTTGTTTCTAATTTCAGTTACCTTAAGAGATTGTCAATATGAGGTTTAAAGCAGAGGTTTTCATCCATAGTGATGCCGAAGTATCTGTAGGTTTGAACAGCTTCAATGGGTTATGCTGTGCAGTCAGACATGATGCCTTTATTCGTCCCACGGAGGGGAAATGTACGATTCCTAGCAAAGAGCCAAAGGTAGCTTCATATCTAAATATGAAAACAAAGTAGAAACTACTCAGCGATGAGTAGGAGCACTGTAACAAGGCTGCCACTAACACGGTGCCGGAAGCAGAAAGCACATCACAATCAATCTGAAAGCTGATGAGATATTCATGTCTGGACTTAAGTGGTGGAATGATTGACAGACCATTGGCATCCCATATCATGAAGATAGCAATATTAGAAATGCCTCAGAGTTAGAGCTCTTCAGTTTGGACAAAGCTCTCTCAGTGAAACCTGAGGTATTTTGTCTCCTCCATCCTCTCAGACCAGCACTAATTAAAAACAAACAGCAGCTGTCCATTAGGGTCATGGATCCTTTTCTACCATCAGGAAGGAAACAAAATGCCTGCATATTTGAAAGCAATCCAGTAGAGGCCTGTTTTAGTTTCTTAAAAACATTAGCCACACTAGGACTTTGACCTGGAGTCATCCATTTGCTCAGCACCTCTGTCAGCACCCTGACCATGTGCACTATGATCTCATTCTCATTCTCATTATTGGAGTTTGTTTAGCAGCTGACCAAAAGTCTACAGAGAACAATGTCTCCTGCTCCACCATGTTTAAGCAATAAGGCTCCATTTTGCTTAGTAAAGTAGTGTAAGGTTGCATAGATGCATAATGCCTAATCACTTCCAGTGGCTACAGACTGCTTTGGTTTAAAGAGTCCTTTTTTGTCCTCACGCTGAAAATGCCAAACAAGGAAACAGTGGCTGATTGTTGGCATCAATAAAGCCCTGAGGTTGGTATGGAGGGGGCAAGCTAGTTTCTTTTTAATTTGCTTTGGACTTGACTTTTATTCATGATCTTGCATAACTCAGAAGCAAAAACAATCGGTTCAGCCAAGACGGGCCGCAGTGTGCCAGAGAACTGGTGCCACACACACCTATATACATATACACACACCGATACACACATGTTCTTATAGAGGCATCTTTAACACAGGGGTACATAAGCTATACAGAGAATCGGGCATTATGAGCATTGTGTTTCGCTTTGTCAAAAAGTGAAGGGAGTAACCTGCTGTGCAATAATGGCTGTCAACATCTTTTGTGTTGACGGTGCAAATTGCAATGGTTCACGAGGATCACAATGGGTTCCCATGTGTAAGTGATTCCCCTTGTAAGGCCAACACCAAATTAAAAGCAAGAAGTAGGGGATTTTAGTTTATGCAAGCTTCTAACATGTTCCTACCCTGGGTGTAGAATAGAATGGTTTTATTTTTAACTAAGCCAACTATTACCAACACACTCGCATGGCATCCTTCATCAAAGTCAGGAGGACGCAGGAATTGATCTAGCACCCTGTTGTGTCTGTTAGAAATCAGTCCAAATAACTTGAATTGAGGTTTATTTATTCCCCTTTTAATGGATGAAGCTATTTCACCGTTTTGCACCAAAGAGAATTGTCCATTTCTGTCCATTTATTATTTTCCTTTAAAAAGACATAGAAAGAGGAAACCAGAACAAAAAGTCCTCTACACGTGTTCTTCATCTGGTGTGAAAACGCACTAAATCAAAGTTTTTTTTTAAATATGACAATCACAGTAGGAGCTTAGGGATGGTAGAAAACAACAACTATGAGAATACTTTGATTGGTCCGTTGCCAGGGTACTTCCTTATTTTGCAAAGCCAAGCACACAAGGATCATAAAACATTATTTCCAAAAGACTTGTATAATGACGAATGCAGAGAGCGAGTCCAACTTGTGCAACATCTTGGGTTTAATTGGGGCAGAGGGAAAAATAAACCCAGTTTCAGAACTGGAGGAAGACCACATTCATGTTTATCTGCACATGTTACAAAGCCAGCTCTCTTCAGATACTGTACATTCAGAGAGATGATTCGTAGTATGGTCGAGTTGCATTGGGCAGATGACCATTGCATGTTTTGGCTCCTTTTGGCCAAATGTGAATTCACACACAGTGTTGTGTTAGGGAATCATTCTCCTGGACTCCTAGATATCTAACCTTTTTGCCCTTCGACGTTTATGACCAACCCTGACGTCTGTTTTCTCCCTTAAGGAAATGGGCTGCTTCAGCCATATTTTGTTGTTCTCATTTTATGACCGGCAACTCCCGGTCACAGATGGTTTATTGTTGTGGGTACACTAGATTGGTTCTCAACTGGTCAGGCCTCGGGACCCACTTTTTACTTGGTCAATAAATCGCGACCCAACATTTTGAAGCACTCTAATCTATTCAACAAAAAATCGTGCTGTAATATACGCTTTTCAGCATACAATATTAATTAAAGTGAAGTACAGTGAATACATCCCTTCACAGAACTAAAGTATGCTTTTAAAAAAGGTTTATGAGATGATGGAATCAAAGCTGGACTAAAAAGGCATAAATGCTGAAAACCCATCCCCAGACGGGGGTTCTGGGGGGATTCTCCCCCAGGAGATTTTTAGAAATACTAACATAAACTACGCATTCTGGTACACTCTGAGAAGAAAATAAATAAATCTATTACTACCCGACATATTAATAATATTTTATGCCATTGTTTGTTTTTCACTTAGTTCTGACAGCTTGCTGCTCCACAAAGAGAGAAGAGCAAAGAGGAGATAGTCTGTGTGAATTACTTTAAATTGTGGGTAAGGGTAGATAGCCCCCATTGTTCTGTGACCTGTCAATCATCAAACCGGGGCTCATATTT